ACACACACACACACACACACGCACACACACACACACACAAAAATTTACTTAATAGATGCTTACTAATATTATAATAATAATAAATATCAAATATTATCTTATTCAGGTTCTCTAAATTTAAATTTATTTTTAATAAATGTACATCTTTTATCGTATTGACATTAATTTATAAATAAATAATATATTTTAATATTATTTTTCGTTTTTCCACAGACTTTACGTTGTAAAATCCTTTAGAATTGTATCGAATTTTTAAAAAGAATATATACGGCAATATTAAAATATTAAACTTTTTGGAATTAAAATATATATGTGTACGTACATGCATTAGCGTGTACGTTATTATTTATCGGATATAAAACTATAAAATTTCCTCCTAAATTTCAAAAAAATCTATTTCTTGAGTGTTTGAAATCTAATTTTTTTTCCGTCTTGAATGTATCGATCCGTCAAAAAACAATGATTCTTCCACTGTATGTTTCGCGTTTGTCGCGTTCCAATTTTCGACGAGGTAAACGTAAAAGTCCAATTTCGTCGCGATTCGGTGTCCTGCCTCGTCGCGTGACCAATTAAAAGAAGATCCTTAATTGCGAGGTAATCTTGTCGGCGTCTAACTGTAAATCGCGGGCATGACTGTGGGACGCCGCACGATGGTAACGGCGCTAGATCGTCGTCCTATGCTGAAGATTTGTTCCGCTATATCGCCGGAGATACCGACCTCCTGCTCGAGTCGACGGTCGCTCGTTACCGACGTTCGCAACGTAACGAGCGTGTCTATAACTGTGGAAGAATGACTCAACGTGTAACCGGAAACTGTCAATGTTCCCTAAGCGAGACTCTCTGGTTCCGCTCTTTATTCGCGATCACGAAATCACGTTACTTCATCTTTTTTAAACACCTTGCGTTAATATCTTTGAGATCAATCGCGTGGGTGAGATTTGAATTACTTGTCGCCGCACGAACATGAAGAGATAAAAGATAAAACTCCAAGAGAGGGGGAGAAAAAATAAATAATTCCTTTTAAGAAATAAGAAATAAGATAAAATCACAAAATGAGGCGCAATAAAAGTAAAAGATTGAAAGGATAATTTTATCTGGAACGCGGCGCATACAGTTTCCTTTTTATTGTCGCAATTTTGAACGCAATCCCGTAAAGCATTGAACTTTCGTCGACGGAAATCTGGCGCGATTTCGAGCCGTGGTAAATATGCTCGGGCGAACAATCGTCCGGACGGATCTATGCGAACCGGCCGGAACTCGGCATAATGCCGCGGAAACGGCCTGGGAAATTATATTTGTCATGGAGAATCGGCCGTGTCTACATTGGAGGACGATTCGATGCGATCTTTGACCGCACAGCAACCGGACGGAACGGTCATTGAATGTATATCGCCGGCCTTTTTTCGCGTTAAATCCAAAGCATTTTGATCTCGAAAGTCGTGGTGACATTTCACGGTTACGTTCGAAATGAACACAAATAATCAGACCGATACGCTAATGCCGACTTCACATGTAGGAGAGGAACGCGTGAAAGTTCAATTTGGTCCAATTAATTTGATCGAGTTTCTTTCTAATTACCTCACATTAATCTTTCATTTTATTTTCCGTAATTTATTTTATTTCAGTAATTTATTTTCAATAAATTTTGTAATTTAATTTCTAGAAACAGTACTTTGATATTTTAAATAAGTAAATACACACGTAAAATAAATTAAAAACAGTACAATATATTTACGAAAAAATAATGAATATTTACAATGTTTACTCATCATATGTTACAGTAAAACTTGTAAGATTATTAAGGAATATATATAATATGTAATACTGAATATGTAATACTGAACAATATTATTACATGCCAGCTTCACAATAAAATGTTAAAAGAAAAAGGAATATATTTTTCATTTTAACTTATACCATAATATTTTCATCGCGCACGCATTAAATACACGTACTGATGGTCTTTGAATTTTTAGACTAACGATGCCGTATCTATCGGCCTTGTTTCCGTTGATCTTCCTGCTGGCTGGAGTCAACGCGGCTGGCATCGGCGAAGCTTGGCAAGTTATGCCGCATGTGAAATCGGTCTACACGGATCATCCGTTTCGACCACGATTGGACTCCTCGGCATTTGAAGTTCGTACTGTAAGCGGAGTGGGTCGTCTTGCACCGTTCGACGAATCGCGAGACGCTCAGAAACACCCGGAACACACCACGCCGAGTTTCGTGGAGCCAAACACCGTGCCGGAGGGGCCCAAAGAAGTCTTTCATGAGAATAAAAGTCTCGAGCGTTTTCGGAAACTCTTGGAGGATTCATCGTACAGCAATGGCGAGATTGAAGATGATGTTAAAAGTGACGGTATACCTATTCAAAAGATATTCCAGAAGACGCTTATGATGAGAATTTTGCATGCGGACAAGGAGAACGACGACGACGACGACGACGACGACGACGACGACAACGAGCAAACTACGCGAGGGACTGTACAGCGTATTCGTAGGCAAGCGGAGAACGAGACGAGTATGGAAAAGATCTCGACGATGAAGAGCGTGCGCGAGGCTCGTCTAAGCTCCCCCGAAACGTGGTCGACCGCGGCGCAGCCGATCTCGGTGGAGTTTCGCCATCGCATCCCGTTGGATCAGGTGATCCAGCAGCAACAGGAGGAGGAGGAGGCCGCCGCTCTGTCCAGCATCTATCGTAGACATCAAGCACCCCGGGTGGACTTTGTAACCGGCCAGAATCGACGCTATCCGGATTACCGCGAGTCGCGGGATATACCGCTCGCGAAGAACTACGACGACTACGAGCAGACGTCCTGGTATAGAAACGCGATTCGCGAGAGGGATTACGAGTACCCGTCGTATCGTCGTGGATACAGTTACCAGTATCCCGATCGTTACAGGATGGAGAGGGATTATTACATGCGCTCGCCGAGCGATCAGTACTACTACGATCGTTACGATCGTTACAGAGACGACGACCTCGATCTCTATGGGAGAAATCGGCCATCCGCGCCGAAGCCCAGACGGATCATCTATTACGCCACCCTGCCCGAGATCGTGAGGAAACCGGTGGACCTGAGGAACTACCCGCGATACGACGCGAATGCGATCAGGACGCCGGTCACGCGGGACGACGCTTATAAACGCATACCCGGCAACGTTGATCCTGGCAAATATCGATACAGACAGTCGTACGGCGGTTACGATCCCTACACAAAGAGATCGAGCTATTACGATCGTCCGTACGGATATCCCGAGGGCGATTCACGGCGAGTCAGGGTGTCGACCAAGGAGGACTTGAGAAACGACGGATTCGGAGGAGTGAGCAACGAGAGGAAAGTGAGCAATCTCATAGCGATCAGGGACGACGAGTCCGGCAAGCTGCCCTGGCCCGTGCAAATCGGTGCGGAAGTTAGCATTAAGGATGATGAGAGAATCCCCGGCCGGAAGATCTTTGGCGAGTCGAGCGTCGGCTATGAGAGATTCCAGAGTGCGCAGTTGCAGAAAGCGCCGGATGCCACAGGATCCAGCGAGTTCCAAAGCGACAATTAACACGTTGAGGATTGCGCGCGTTTCATTACATAAAGAAAGGCTATAATTCTAGACTTATCTCACGTGGGATTACATGTATAGTCACGATATTATCGAAATCACAATTTGGAAAGGATAATTTTGGGCTATATATGATATTGAAATGATATTGAATACGCGATGATAAAATATACAATTTCAAATATAAGTATTCAAATATATGATAATTCAAGAAATATATGTTAATTACGTTTAAAAGATTTAAACAAATTCAACAAAATTTAACTCAACTGCTGCATCAAATATATATATATATAT